ATAAAGCTGACAAAACATGTTCGTTCCAATGATTAGAAGTGATCGTTGGATATTAAGAACTATTATAATGACAAAAAGATTGAATTAAGACGAAACCTGAACTTGACATACCTACAAAAAGTTGGCATTATCAGGACCGCCATTTAAAACCTACCGGTACCCCAATCTTGCGAGAAAGCATGTCTGCTTCTCCACACTGTTGGAAAAAGCAACAATGTTTCTCCTCACTGTGATCTCGATAATGCCAACTCTAATTTCACAAAAGAATGTAACAGGTCTGGTGATTTCACATTTTGTAAGTAATATTGAAGATTTCCTGAAACTATAAGACATAGATGAGCCAATAATATCAATACAATGCAAGTGCACTATTCGTTATGTACAAAAAGATAGGAATATAAGGATCAACCTGTTCAAAGAAACGTACCTTCGGGTTTACCGAAAACATATCTGTTTCCCTCCACCATTGGAGTCTAAAGATTTCCTAGGCCTGTCGAGGATTTTCTGAAACCATCCCACACAGCTGAGCTTCTAGTTTCATCAAAACATGCTCTCTAGACCACCACAGTAAGGCACACATTGACCAAAAGTGATGCATTGAAACGAGCGTCGCTCAGCTACACAAACTAGGTTCAGAAAATCGGCCATATCTCCTCACGAAAGCAAAATCGCTCGACAACATATATATTTTTCTGAATGTAGAGAATCTGAGAAATCTAATGATGTAAAGAAAGTGCCATGTTACTGGGCAAACTTGAGGACACCGTGAGTTTTAAGATGGTCATTATAATACTGCTGCGGTAATGTTCACAGTGATCAGCAGTGATACAATGCATTGAAACGAGCGCCGCCCAGCTACATGAGATAGGTTCAGAAAATCGGCTATATCTCCTCACGAAAGCAAAATCGCTCGACAACATATATATTTTTCTGAATGTGGAGAATCTAAGGAATCTAATGATGTAAAGAAAGTACCATGTTACTGGGCAAATCTGAGGAGACCGTAAGTTTGAAGATGGTCATTATAGTACTGCATTGGTAATGTTCAAAGTGATCAGTAGTGATACAATGCATTGAAACGAGCGCCGCCCAGCTACATGAGATAGGTTCAGAAAATCGGCTATATCTCCTCACGAAAGCAAAATCGCTCGACAACATATATATTTTTCTGAATGTAG